GCTGGACTCCCACGTAGTTGACTGCGGTTCGCATCCTGGACCTGGTGACTTAGAACTCATGCTGTGCGTGTGTGCTTGCGTGCCCAAGATCCTGAGAGGAGAATGGAGGAGAAGGGATTGCAGCGTGACCATCCCCCCTGGGGGGGGGGGGATTTCTCTCTTTCTGTCTCTATGTCTCTCTCTGTCTGGTGAGTGCACACGCCCTATAGCAAAACCTCCCCCCCACCATAAAAAAAGAGAGAAGAGTCAGAAGACTCCCAGCATATTTACTAGTGACATGCAGACTGAATGGGCTGTCGAGTTCATAGAATAACCTATTGGGGATGGGCTTAAAATCAGGTGGGTTGAGGCCAAACTGTGAAGGACTTTGTGACATCTGATTTCTTAAGAAAGCACAGCATCCAGGCCTCAGCCAGTATCTAGCTGGCTATCACCCTTCTGTGGACCAGTGTGACTGTACCAGGCCAGTGACACTTGAGCTGGTAAAACGGCACATGTATGCTCCCAACTAATTGGGAATCATGGCCTCTTTCTTTTTCTTCACTTTGAATTATTAGTTTCTTACCACCATTTAATGTCATCATGTTGGGGGATTCTTTTTCAGTGCATTTTGATAGCCATCTTTAGGTAAGTTTAAAGGAAAAGATGAAGTTAGCTAAATTTCTTTTGAAATGCCAATAGAATCAAACAAAGACAAAGCAGCTGCAAAAACATATGCCAGAGAGTTCTCATTATGGCCTTATCATGCTAGCTTTCGTGCAGGCTCACAGTGTGTATTTCTGTTTCCATGGCTACCTGCTAGGCAGCAGAATCCCCCAGGTTGGTATGCTCTTGTGTCAGAATTTTTTGTGGAAAGGATATTCAACATTTTTCAGAGTGAAGTCAATACATTTTTCTTTCTTTATTTTTTCTTTTTTCAAGCAGCTGGGTTATACATTTAAAAAATAAAATGAAATTGGTCACTATAGTTTTGATTTCCAAGTTATAAGTGAAGCCAGACTTTAAGGCAGTGCTTTAATGGGTTTGAAATTCTGGCATTTAAAGGATTTCTCCTAGATGGTCCCCATGACAACAAAACTTAGTGCAGGTATTGAGTAGCATCTTTGCTGTGAAATATTCATGCCACAAAAATTTCTTTCATCTTGAATGCTACCCTAATAAATGAAGGCTAAAGAATTTAGCTTATTCAAGGTGTTATATGGACAGATATTTCAAAATCATTTTTTAAAAGCTTAATAAAATTGCCATTATAGGTAAACTCTTCAAAAAGTGAATAATGATATGCTGTATTATATTCTTAAATGAATGTTTTGTTCAGTTAAAAATAAGTAAATGTTATTTCAGGTGTTAATTGGGAAAATATTTTTTAATGATAGAAAAATTTGAATTTCTTAATCATAACACGTGATTGCTGTTTTAATAATGCCTGTTTTGTAGTGTGGTTAATAAACCCTTCTCAGTGTTTTGGCACCACCCCCTACCATTTTCTTGCCAAAGAAAAAAAATATTTTTAAGCTGACACTTGATAAAACTACATTTGTTTGTGTGTGTGTGTATGTGTGTGTATGTTTATATATGTGTGTATCATTTATATATGTGTGTGGGTTTGTGTGTATGCATTATTTTTTTTAAAGTTGCCAGGGAGTGTGTACTCACCAGAGACAGGGATAGTGAGAGAAAGAGTGAGCGAGCGAGCCCCACCCAGTGGAGAATGGTTATGTTGCAATCCCTTCTCCTCCACTTCTCCATCTTGTTGGGGTTTTGGGCATGCACGTACATGTGCCCAGTGTGTTATTCAAACTGCCAGCTCCAGGATCCCATTCAGACCTTTGGCCACGTGGGATCCAACTCCCTTAACTACAAGGTTAAAGGTGACCCAAAAGATAGAAGAAATTTTAAAAATAGATTTTGGTGTCTTTGTTCAATAGCCATTGTTATGTGTGATTTTTAAAACTTTGTTAAAAAACTAGACGTACCCAGATTTTAAAGATGAGGTGCCATTTGAGAATAAACTGCTTACTCATTAACCAGTATCTCTTGAATCCTAAAATAATCCTTGCAAGAGAGAGAAAAAGGGAAAATAAGGGCTCTACCCGTGACAGGATCCTCATGCTTCCATCGTACTCCCAGCCCTGCAGCTGTCAGGGTCATGTCCTGCGGGTACACCCGGCTTGTTTAATTAGACCCAGCAGCCTTCCCATGGGCTTCCGGAAAGGCAGCTGTGCCCCTACTGCCTGCACCACTGAGGCTGGGCCTGTCTCTTGAATTTTAATAGGCTCATTTTTTTTTTTTTTTCTGAAAGAGATGATTATTTTTCTGGTATTTATTTACTGTTTAATATTTTATTTAATTGGCCATTGTGGGAGAACCATGAAATCCTACATTCCATGTTGAAAATAGTTGTATGATTTAACATCTTTATCTTAAGTAAGAACTCATTAGGGATCTTATCCTAAATTCAGGTGTCTCCATCTGGTGTTCAGTACAACATCCACTTCTGGACCAAGGACCAAGGTCTACAGAGAAACACTGAGGCAGGAAATCATTTCAATGATGAGGGGGTTGGTAACATTTGGAGGTGAGCAGGGATAATTTCATCAAAACCGAATCATGACAAAGAAGTTAATTACAGCAAATAGGTAGACTTGGTGGTCTGTTTAGAAGAAATGAGAAAGATTGACCAGTCATTAGCGTTCTAACAAGATTGTTTCTATTTAATCTTCTTCCACAGATTCAGGCCTTAAATTAGATTTTCTAAATCTCCCGTCATAACCCTATTCTACTCAACCCATATTCTTGATGAAATGTTATTGCTTCATTTCCTTTGACCACACACTGACTCTACTCTCATAATGATTTTCTATCACAAAAATCTCAGATTTTAGCTACATTTCAAATATGGCTGTCCATGTAATACTTTATGAAGTATTGCGTCTTTCATAATGTCAGTACCGGCTGAATGATTTGGGCTCTGGACCTTGAATGCTGGCTCTACCCCTTACTAGCTTTGCAACTTTTGCCAAGTTATTTATCTTGTCATAGTATTTTCACCAGTGAAATGGGGATAATAATCTCTCATAGGATTATGTGAGAATTAATATATCAGAAATCTCTGTTAGTCCTTTTTTTGCTCTAACACATGACCACAAACTTAGTGGCTTTAAAAAAACATAAATTTATTATCTGATGTTTTCTAGGAAGGGTACCCAGCAAGTGTATCACTGGGCTAACATCAAGGTGTTGGCAGGACAGCATTCCCTTCTCGAAGCTCGAGGGGAGAAACTGTTTCTTTGCCTTTTCTAGCTTCCAGGGGCCACCCACATTTTTGGCTCATGGCTCCATTTCTCAGTCTTCAAAGCATTTCTTTCTGTAGTCAATCTCTCTCTGCCTCTTTTACTTCTCTCTTCTGCCTCTCTGCTTTTATAAGTTTATTTATTTCTTAAGTAAGTGAGAGAGAGACCGAGATACAGCACCCTGTTAGAGTTTTCACTCTGTGACCCACCCCCAGCCAGCTTGAACATGGGCACAGGCAGGCCTTCATACTCACAGAGGTCCCTGGGTGTGAACTGGCAACCCTCCTGTATAGGATTGCCTCACAGAGGGTCATGCTTTATCACTGCACCACCGTCTGGCCCCCATGGCCTCCCTCTCCTAACCTTTAAGAACTCGTGTTGGGAACCAGCAGTTAGCGTAATGGCTATGTCGCTGGACTCCCACATAGTCGACCGCGGTTCGTGTCCCGGACCCGGTGGCTTAAAACTCACGCCGGGCAAGTGTGCGTGCGTGCCCAAGATCCCAAGAGGAGAATGGATGAGAAGGGATTGTGGCGTGACCATCCCCCCTGGGGGGTGATTTCTCGCTTTCTGTCTCTATGTCTCTTTCTCTGTCTGTCTGGCGAGCGCACGCGCCCTACAATGAAAATCTCTCAAAAAATAAAAAAAATAAAAAACAAAACAAAACAAAACAAAACAAAAAGAACTCGTGTTCACCAGGCCACCTGGATAATCTCATTTTATTTTTATTTATTAGTTGCCCAAGGGCATGCATGCTTACCAGAGAGTGAGTGAGAAAGAGGCAGAAAGAAAGAGAAAGGGCATGGTGATGCTCCATCCTGTCAAATTTTTGGGTATGATGTACATGTGCCTAGCATATTTTTAAGCTGCCAGAACCAAGATTTGAACCATGAGATTGGTCATGTGAGATCTGTCTCCTTTACTTGGGTATATAGCTAGTCCTCCCCACCTCCCCCCACCAGGCAAGTTAAGTTTTGCCATAGGGTGCTTGTGCTTGCCAGATAGACACAAAGAGAAAGTGAGCAATTACTCCTGGGGGTGTGGCCATACCGCAGTCTCTTCTTTCCCATTCTCCTCTCAGGATTTTGGCCTGGGGCCAGAGATGGTGTGGGGAGGGCGGACTAATTCTGTTTTGCATTTTTACCTCCTGAGACCCTAGGGTGTTATGGGATAGACATTTTCACGGTTCTGTTCTATTTTGGAGCAGATACGTTATCACAGGCAGAGGAGAGGGGCCAGAGAAGGGGAGAAGTGGGGAGATGTATGTGCTGCTGCTATTTTTTGCAGTCCCATAGACTAGAGATTATTCCCTTATCATATTTTCGTAGCAGTCCAATTGGCCTTCCCACTCAGTGAGTGCCTCTGAAGGTTGGCTAAATGCAGTTAAGAAGACATGGACAGTATTTAATCCATTTATCTGCAAGAGGTCTCTTCAGTGGAAACTGTTTTCGCTTACTTCCATAAAATATGACCCAGCTACATCAAATATTCCGTTTGAGAGCAGGCAAAGACACAAAACAATGAAATAAAATGTGTTAGCATTTGTGAGGTGCCTCACAGTTTAGAGATGTCTTCATAAAATTATTTTATATATCGTGTCAGCATTTGGAGAAATAAGGCAGCTCAAATTTTTTAGACAACAGCGTTGTTTCTAAATATTTGCTTGCTCATCACTCCTGCCAAAGGAAGAACAACACTTACCTTCTTCTTTAATTAAAATTTGACAGAGGTGTGTCCCAGTTTCACAGCTGAGCTAGCTAAGGTGAGAGTTGTAATGCCGCCCTTTGGTGGTGGCTAAGGTCCTATCTCAGGTCCTGGGACGAAATCAGTCGGCAGTGAGGGGTCTGGAATGAAAGGCATTCTCTCATTTTCCTAAACTGAGACATGAAAACACATTAAGCCATTGTTTTCTAGCGTTGTTTGCATTTACACTCTCAATGATTACATATAATAAAAAGGAGCTGGAGGGGGAAATCTGTTCTGAGTACATAAAACTCGCCAGAGAAAAAATCTCCAGTCAGCTGATATGTCAACAGCAGCGAGATAATTCATTCTTTTTTGGAAAAGTGAACGCCAGTAACAATAGCCATGAATCTGGCAACAGAGCAATACCGAAAGGGCGACTTTCAGTTCTTGGCTCTCTCCTTTCTCTCCATTTCCAAAGGACATTCTCCTCAAGAGACACCAAGTGATTTTTCATTGTTCGTGTCTGCTGCCGAGGTTCATGGGACCACACAGTGTGGCTGGTGAGCCAGGTCTGTCTTCCCTGGGCTGCAATCGCAAAGGAATTATTTTTTATAAGAAGAAATATAAAGTGATTTACTTATTTGTCTTAAGGCCTTTTTGGATGCCATGGAGAAGATTACCTCTGCAGCCTTGGGATGCTAGAGTAAACTTGCATTTCATAACGTCACAGTCATTTCTATCACGGTCTTCAATGCTCTCGATTCATCCGAGGTAGAAGTGAAGAAAGCAACCTTTCCTTAATGATCACGTGGATTACATCTGTGATAAAACAAAACAAAACAAATGAAAAGTAGAAAAACAGAAAGTAAGATGCAGGAATTGACTTGATGTTGACCATCTTAAATACATTATAATCAAAGTAAGAGATGATAAGTATCTACAACTTTTTATTCATTTTCTTATGGAGAGTTTTTTTTTTTTTTAATAATTCATGATACTGTGTGTGAAAGAGAGAGAGAGGGAGAGTAAGAGAAGCACCCCTGCAGGGCTCAGTCATGGCATGATTCTCTTCCTCCAGTTCTCCAGCTTGCTAGAATCCTGGGCCATGTGTAGGCATGTGCCTGGTGTGTCTTCAGGCCTACTGGGCTGAAGTTAAACCATGGTCAGCATGTGGCTTCCAACCGCGCTATCCAGTATGCCATCAGCTGTGCCACAGAAGCTGGGCCAGGAGTAAGTTTTTTTTTTTTTTTTCCACTAAAGGTTACTTATGTTCTCTGGTGGGGGGTGGGGAGAGAGAGAGGAAGTACCCTCCATAAGGTGTGGTCCTACCAGGTACCTGCTCCTCCTCCATCTGTCTCTCCTCTGGGATTCTGGGCATGCACACACATGTACCCTGTGGGTTTATCAAGCCACTGCATCTGAGACTTGAGCCACATGGTTGGCCATGTGGGATCCAGCTACCTTAACCACCAAGCCATGGACTGGCTTCAGGAGTACAGATTTTAAATAATATAATATTTAGGTGTTCTCTCTAAAAATAATCATGGGGAAGTTATGTAGCCTACATCTGTATTGGTCATTTAATTTACTTTCAAAATATAAAATAAAAAATAGTGGTTAGCTTTGTTGCTTTGATCATGATGGGCAAATCACACAGGCCAAATCTGACCACCTGTCCACTTTTGTAAACATAATTTTGTTGGAACACAGCTTCATTCATCATTTACATATAATATGTGCACGTTTTCATGTTACAGAGGTAGAGCCGAGTAATTGAAGTGAAGACCAGATGACCTGCAAGGCCTGAAATATTTACTCTCTGGCCCTTTACAAAACCATTTGTCAGCTGTCAGACCTGTAAGGTGATGTAAAGCTGAGTCTCAGATAGCTTAAGATATATTGGTTGTCGGAAAAGTCATGGCGTATTCTTCTGTTTTTCTACGCAAAAATGTGTTATGACTTTTCCAACAACCCACTAGTTCGATAAAAGACATACCAAGATTTAAGTGCTACGACAAGTCAAATTTAAATTCACTTACTCATTGACTCAAACTGAGTGACATTTGGGTGCTTTCTTTACGCCAAGCAGTTTTCTAGGCTCTGAGACCCAGAAGGAAATGAGCAGCATAGAATTGTTGCCTTCCTGGAGCTTATAGTCTAGTGCGAAGCCAATGAAGATATGAATGTATGGCATAAAGCCCGGTATTTGCTCTCGTTTAATATATATTGAGAGTTGAACCCAGGTCACACTGATGTCTTTAATGATAAGGGTTTTTGTTGTGGTGGTTTTTCACTTTTTTAGAGATTTTTGCTAGAGGGCACTTGCTCTCATCAGAGAGACAGAGACAAAGTGAGAAATCACCCTCCACAGGGGATGGCCACCCTGCGGTCCCTTCTCCTCCATTCTCCTCTCTGGATTTTGGGCATGCATGCACACATGCCTGGCATGATTTTTCAAGCCACCAGGTCTAGGACTTGAACCGCAGTAGGCAACAGGAGAATCCAGTGCCTTGAATTTAAAGGAGAGTCGAGGAGAATGAGAATATCTCAAACCAATCATTCTTTCAATCATGAGATTTTCCATGTGGCCCAGAATTATATTTATACATTGATGGAGGTTTGCACATATTGTGTACCTATTCTGGTGTGGCAGAGGAATATTTGATTGGGAAATACAACATCTATGTTTTAATTCCAGTGCATTCTCTTTTTGGCTGAGGGGTCTTGTGGAAATTCTGAATGTCTCTGCAACATATAGGGGATGGTACTTCAAACCTGAGTGTGTACACACCTCACCTGGAGAGTGTGTTAAACACACATTACTGGATACCCTGAGTCTCTAATCTGGTCACTGTGGCTTACCCTCTTCTGTTATTATTAAATTCCCCGAAAAGGCTTTACAACTTTTTAAGCTAGACTAGGAACATCCCCCTAAGTAATGGTTTGTTTAAAATGACTAGTACTTGGGACCAGCAGTTAGTGTAATGGCTATGTCGCTGGACTCCCATGTAGTCAACCATGGTTCGAGTACTGGACCTGGTGGCTTAAACTCACACCAGGCGTGTGTGCATGTGTGCCCAAGATCCTGAGACAAGAATGGAGGAGAAGGGGTTGCGGTGTGGCCATCCCCCCTGGGGGGGTGATTTCTCACTTTCTGTCTCTCTGTATCTCTCTGTTTTTCTGGCGAGAGCATGTGCCCTATAGAAAAAAACCTCTCCAAAAAAAGAAAAAAAAATGACTAGTGCAAAATATTTGGGGCTAGTTACCAAGGGAGAGATTCCAGAGAAATCAGAGTGTTTACATGCTTGCATATGGTCACACGGATTGCTATTCATTTAATTGATTTTCTATGGCATCTTTGGGTAAATTAATGTATGCCAAAATTCAAGGGCCGAAACCAATTTTTTAAAGAATTATTTATTTTCTTTTATTTATTCAGTCATTTAATTTGACCAGACACACACACACACACACACACACACACAGAGCAAGCCACCAGGTCCAGGACTTGAACCCTGGTTGGCCATGTGGGAGTGTCCAGTGCCTTAACCACCATGCCACCAGGTGGTTTCAAGGGCTAAGACTGATTTTTCATAATTTCTTCTTCTTTATATCCTGAGTCCACAGTATGCAGTTGGTGCTCATTACTTACCTGTTTAATTGACCTAAACTTAGAGAAGGACTGAATGCTTCTTGAGGTCATCTTCCTGAGTTCCTGTTGGTTTTCTGTCACACTCTATTTAGAATTAAGAAGCATTAACTCTACTGGCTGCTGAAACTATCTGTAGCATGGGTTATTCTATTTTTGCAAAGCATTTTGGTATTATTTTGATAGACATTCCAGTAAAACCTTTACTGATATTCAGTGTGTTTCCTTGATTTTGAATGTACAGCATTAACAAACAAGCAAAACCAAAACAAGCAATATAATAAAAGCTCATCATATTTTCCCTTGCAAATTATAACATGCCCACTTACTTCAATATAATTCATGATGTGTTTGTTGAAATACGATTTTTACTGTAACTTTATTAGAATGGGTTAACAAGTGAATGGACATTCAATTCTATGTTTTTCTAAATACTAGTACTATATATCTACAAAGATGCATAAGATACAATTTCTGTTAGGAGCCCTCCAGACCTTCAGTTAGGAAGCAAGGATTGTAAACTCAAATGTCTAAGAAGCCAGAAAGACACCCTGTACTTGAAAGTGTGGTGTGTGTTGTTGTTGGCGTTGTTTATTTTAAAATGTTGGCTCAAGTTACAAATAATCATAAATGGAAACTTGGTGTAGACTAGCAAAACTTGGTGTACCTAAATTCTATTATTAGGCCTTTATGACTTCTCATGTTTTGGGGGGGTAAAAATTTGAAATCTATGCATAGTTTTTTTCATAATGTACATTTTCTTTGAGCTATTTGAAGACTCCCCTAGTATGGATTGTACAGACAAAGGATTTGAGGATGTTTCATAGGATGAGGAGTAAGAACAAATCTAAAGGCAGAGATCAGAAAATCCTGCTTGCTGCTCCAGCAGGTAGGATAGTGATTAAGGTGCTGGACTCCCACATGGCTGACCATGGTTTGATTCCTGGACTCAGTGGCTTGAAAATCACACTTGGCATGTGTGTGCATGCCCAAAATTCAGGGAGGAGAATGGAGAAGGATGTCAGAGTGACCTTTGCACCAGGGGTTGATTTCTCACTTTCCCTCTCACTATCTCTGTCTCTCTCAGGTGAATGCATGTGTCCTATGGCCAAAACCTTAAAAAAAAAAGGAAGAAAAGAAAATGCTACTTGGAGAAAGTGATATTTGCATGGACTTCAAAGGATGGATAAAGGGTCAAATCTAGAATAAGGTGAGGGTAGTGAGTGTTAGGAAAAGAGAGCATGGAAAATGCTTAAGGAAGGCAGAGGGGCAGGTGAACGGTTAGGCCGTGGTGAATGGTTTCTTCCTATCAGCGGGAGAGTGGAGTAGTAGCTTGTGAGAAGGAAATTGGTAAGTGTAGCTGGGATTGTATGTGTAGAGCCATGATGCCCAGTGGGCAAGCTTGCCTCCAGTTAGGCAGTTCGAATCTCCAGCTCTGACTAGCCGTTATTTATCTGGATTATATTTATGCCCTAATTTATAGAATCTAAAATGTTATCGAGCGCTGGAAACATATAGGAAGAAAGAAAAAAAGCTACCATTTAAACCATGATGCAATGTTTCCTTGTCGTTTGTAATTACTGTTTTAAATTTATAATAGCTCCTCTAGATTTGCTTTGACACCAAAAATTGGAAAACATGGACATTGATGTCCCAGTCTATGGGACATGCACATGGAACTGGCTGGACTGCCACAGAACCAAGAGCTACTGAGCTGCCAGCATTAGGATACATGAGTGCTTCGTTGGGATTGAAATGTGCAGCTCCCAATCAGCAGATGACAGGTGAAAAAGGCTGCCTACCAGTTATTATACATTATGCTTCCACCCATGAACTAGACTAGTGCAAAATTTCTGAAACGAAGTGCCTCACATGGATCATAATTACCATTACTGTGCAATTGTTATCACTTCCAAGTGAAAGTTTTATTAATTAAGACTTCAGTTTTATTAATCTGGAGGGCACTTGTTTTTTAATTGGAATCAATCTTTCCTCTTTTGAAGCCACAGAGATCTTACATGTGGAGTACTTACGGACAACAGCTGATTTTTATTTTGTGCTTGTGTTCTTCCTTGGAAAAGTCTTTTGCTTCCCAAGTTTCTTTTTCTTCTTCTCTCTCTGAAAGGAAAGATTCAGATGTTATGAAATAGGACAGCCCTAGATATTAAACTCTTCATCACAGAGCTGATTAGGTCAAAATGGAAGATGAAGACAGCCAAGTCAATAAGCCACAGAAATGAAGCAGGACTGTGGGCTTCCAGCAGCTATTCTTCTTCTTTTTTTAAAAAAATAATTATTTTATTAAACTTTATTTATTTTATTTAAATTTGTCTAGATAGGGGGAGAGAGAGAGAGAGAAAGGGAGATGGAAAGTGAGAAAGCAAGCCCGCAAGTCTAGGATTTGAACCGTGGTTGGCCACGTGGGAGTCCACCCTTAACCACCATGCCACCTGCAGGCCCCTCTATCAGCTATTCTTAACTCAGAAAGCTAAGAAGGGCCAGGGTTTCCAAATTGTAAAGACTGTTTCTCTTGTTCTTTTAATGTTCCCTTTAGCTTTTAAGCTACCCATGCCTCTAATTTACCTGAAATCTCCTTTTGCATATCTGTACTAGTAAAGTAATTCTAATGTAAATGGTACAGTTGCCAGATAACTGATCGCAACTACTTCTTCAGGTCTTTATATGGGAATTCTGTCTGGTGTAAGACAGCTAGGTGTGCTATCAATTCGGAGGTGCTCCTGGTAAATATGTGTTGTAGTGTTATAAAATACACATATCAGCCCAGTCACAGCAGCACAGCAGTCGGCCTGTGCTCTACAGTGCTGGCGGCGATATGGAAAACGGGGTTCATTTCCTGGGTCAACCTGTATATACCAACTGCACGCACTGGCCAGCCAGATGGGCTAGTGCAGTGTGAGACCCTGTTGAGGATACTTTCTCTCACGGAAGGAAGGAAGAAAGGAACTTTAAAAAAGATTTTTTTAATGACATTAAAAAACTGTATCAACCATAAATTTCCTTCAAATCTAAGTAAGCTTTTCAGTAATATGTGGAATATGTGTTGTATTTATGAAGCAACACGCTCACTGGAAATTGTTTTATTTGTTTCTCTGTGTGTTTGTGTGTCCCTGTCTGTGGCTTTCTGTGTGTTAGGGATACAGTTCTTACCAGTTAACATGCAAAACATTCGATTATTAGAGCAGGCTGATCCGTACTGAAGAGTAGTTCAAGGCCCAGGAGGTAATATAGCTAAAATACAACTGGTCTTACTGCTAGTCAGAATACACACGCTCATATCTCAACTTTTTCTTGGCGAACCATGAAAACTCAAATTTTGTTTAGGAAAGCACTTTCACTCCCTTGTTTTCTTTTCAAAGTGCCTGAAGGATATATGCTTTCACATGCAGGTTTGGAGCCAAATATTACAGCCGCCATCTTTTCAGGTGCTCTTGTCCATTTGGAAATTGAGACTCTACACGTGACATGCCTGTAACAACATACATTTATTTTTCCCCAGAAAATTACCTTTAGAAAAGGTGCTAAGATGGAAGCAAACCTCCTTTCTGTTACCACCTTTTCTGAAGTCTCCTTCACCATGAGTTTTTCTTTTTTTGGAGAGGTTTTTGCTATAGGGCATGTGCGCTCACCAGAAAGACAGAGGCATAGAGACAGGAAGCGAGAAATCACCCCCCACCCCCGGGAGGGGGGGATGGCCACGCCGCAATCCCTTCTCCTCCTTTCTCCTCTCGGGATCTTGGGCACACACGCACACGCGCCCGGTGTGAGTTTAAGCCACCAGTTCCAGAACTCGAACTGCAGTCGACTGTGTGGGAGTCCAGCGACATAGCCATTACGCTAACTGCTGGTTCCCTCCTTCACCATGATTTAACATGCACTATTTAACCCCGACATTCTGCTTATTTTTAAACATAGAATTGAATGTGGGGTACATTTGTAACTTTTATATCTCTTCAGGTAAGGAGAGGAAATGGCAAAAACAACTCACTTTGGTATGATTATAATGTTGACTTTAAGCCATTTCTCAGTGGCCTAAGAAAGTGTGAAGGAGCCCACGGTGTAGCATTTGTGCAATTGTGGAGTTGTTGATTTAAACAGACTATGCTGGGGTTTCGTTAGCAGCTTGTATTGACAACAGCTTTAATATATTGGACCCGATTTTTTTTTTTTTTTGAGAGGTTTTTGCTGTAGGGTGCGTGCGCTCGCCAGACAGACAGAGACAGACAGAGAGACAGAGAGCGAGAAAACTCCCCCCTTGGGGGATGACCACGCTGCAATCCCTTCTCCTCCATTCTCCTCTTGGGATCTTGGGCATGCATGCACATGCGCTCGACATGAGTTTTAAACCCCCGGGTCCGGGACGCGAACCGTGGTTAACTACATGGTAGCCCAGTGACATAGCCATTACGCTAACTGCTGGTCCCGGCATGGATTTTTTGATACTAGATCTTCCCAGGGAGTAGAGTTTGAATATCTGCTTGTGAGAGGTCTCAGGGGAAGGACCTGATTCTCTGGCACAGTTGCAAGACTTGAACTTTCCGTAACTACCGTCAGTCTGAGGCTGATTGTTCCCCAAGTGCCAGCAGAGCCTGGGTTAGCAGCCATTGAACCAGGTCTCTACCATGGGTGAGGAAGGTCCTACTAATTTTCCTTTAACATGGTTATCTTGTGCTGCTGGGCCACTGTATTTCTTACTTCTCATGTCTCTTCATTCTGAAGCTTGCTCTTGTGCCCATACCCTCTGTTGACTATTGTTAAGAGCACTATTGATTTTAGGATTGATTTTGACCATTTTCAAAAACACGCCTGCAAGGGATATTTTGAAGGCATAATGGTGGGCACTGGTTTGCTCTCTGGGGTGTGCAGCCTTTATTTTTTCATGCACTTTCACTCATGGCTGCAAAGAACAGGAAAGCCATCTGCTGGGTTTCTTTATGCTGGTCAGATGTGGCCCAAGGTAGTAGCTGTACCTCTGAGTAGTCAGACAAATGGGAGAAGGTCGAAGGGCTGCATGAATCCTATACTCCCGCCTCCCCTGGTGAGTATTTAGGCTGCCTCATATGGACTCCCCAACGGCCAGTGTCTCAAGGTCATCTTAGGTTTCTTTTTTAAAGTCTATGTGAATTTTACCTTTCTTATTAGATCTTTGTCCCATCTGGAATGTATTTTTGTATATGATGAGCTAGGGATTCATTTCCATAAAATGAGCCATTTTTCTCAGCATCAACTTGTAGATAACCTTTTTTTTTTTTAACAGATTTGTGATGCTACTTCTGTTGTTAACCAAGTTGGCAAACACACACGCACACACACATACACACACACATACACATTCTTTTCCTCCCTCCCTTTCTTGTATTTTCCTGGAATTTCTGTTCTTTTCCATTTGTCTCAGACTTTATAATATCTTCATTTATGGTAGGCAAAACTGAATTTTTTCTTGCCTTGCCTTTCTCTTTCTATTTATCTTACTATATTCTACCGTATTATTTCCCTTCCTTTTCCCCCTCACTTTTTTTCCCTTCTCTCTCTCTTGAAATTGACAGTGCAATAGTAGGTGATACCTGCATATTCACTACGTATGTCTTAATTTCTGTGCTTCTCTTTCCATACTCACCAATGTCAAGGTACTGGGTGTATAAGAAAGTTAGATTCAACAATAACAGTCTAAAAACAGCTGTGTGAAAACACACAGGGTACGGCCACTGTAGAAGTTTTCAGTTTTGCTTTGTTTTTTACTGCCAGATGGAGCGAAGTGTTCACTTACGGCTATAACATAGCTCTGTATAATGTTGCGTTATTCTTACTCTTGTCTCCTCGCACCCTTTATCTGACTAAAAATAATTAGCGTACTGGGAATTTAGAATGAATAACTCTGAGCACAGGCTCTTATTTTCTTTCCCTGCAAGTAAAGGACTTTTTTTTTTTTTGACTCGAAAAGCACTTGCAAGACAGTGAGTAAATCTAGGAAAGTCTGTCAGCAAACTGGATAATCCCAAAGCTGAAAATGTGAAGGTCTGCAAAAATCAGTCACAGAGGATTAAAGCACCTTTGGTCGCACGTTGTTAAGAAAACCCACAGCTGCTTTAAAGTGGGCGTTGCCTCTTGGAGAGAAGTCCAGAGTCTCCTGCAGTTCTGTTCTGATTTCTTCCTAACTCGCCAGCGTTGGCACCTTCTGCTCAGTACGTGCTGGGCTCTGTGGGGAGCACGGGAATGTCTCATCCTGTCTGGAGTGGGTGGTCCTGGGCAGGACGCAGCCCAGGGACTCCTTGTGCGTGACTGAGAAATGTACATTCTGTGGCCCTCTGCATTGTATATGCTGTAGGGGTAAACTTGTGAGGGGTGTGTGTATGTGCGTGCACATGTGTGTGTGCATGTGTGTATGTGTGTGTGCACACACGCGTGTGTGTGTGTATTTCTGTGTTTTGAACATTCTCCTTTGAGCTCTAATTTCCAAGCTGAAATTGTTTACAGATAACTTTGGGGGGTGGGGGAAAAGGATGTCTGAAAAAGGACTTTGAATGTGAAAATGCTTTTCTTATAGCATCCTTAATGCCATCAGTACTTAGCCTTAAGCAGATCAAGATTGCAAAGGAGTCCCCTACAGACCTGAGGTTTATTGTTTCTAATACCAGACGAATTACAGTATGTATTGCCGTCATTGTATTTTCAGTGACATCTGCTTTCTCTTAAAGTTCCTTGGTAAACTGAAACTGTTGGTGAGTGGAAGGCTGACTCTGAACATTTTGAAAGCAACTGTGTCCAGATCACAGGATTTTTCTTTGTTTTTGTTTTCATGGAGGAGTTTGTGCTGGGCTTGGTGACCGTTGTATTTACACTAAGTACAAACGCGAGGAGGTAAACACTCTTATTTTAGCCTTATGAACTTTGGTTTGTTTGATTTCCTTTTTAACTGCCAGGGCCCACTTTTAGTGTCTACCCTGCCATTGCCTGATCTGTTGTTTCGCTTGGCCATCTGGGGTGAAAACCTCCTGCTTCAGTGGCCCTGGGGTCAGTGGGGCTGACCCACACAGGAAGGTACCAT